TTGGACATAAGGTAAAACGGCGGTGGATTTAAATTCCGCGACAGGCTCTCTTCGTGGGGTTGTTCGTGCCATATAACTTCCGCTTATGATCATCCTGTACAGCCTCTAACCACCATTTTGAATAATTATACTTTAAATAAACAACTGCTGAACACAAAATGGTGCGAAAAACGTAAACTCAAACCAAATTTCATCATTTAATTATCAATGGTTGTTATCAATCAGAGGAACAAATCAGTATCAGGATCATACAAGTGTGAACATAATAACTTGAAAAGCCATTGAAATGTGAGGGAGGAACCCAGTCTAATATTTGATTTAGGAATAGCACATTTCTGAATGTAAATGTCACACGGTGATTTTCAGTTTTATTCAATGCGATTCAGTCAGCCACTACTTACAACACTAGCTCTATTTACATGATATTGCTCTAATTATTTGCGCTATTTAAATTACAACATCTAAACGACTTACGATACTAACAAATACAGTGACGACAAGGGGCAAAGAAAAAAAGAAGAAAGATAGATAGTTATCATTACAGCTTGAGGTTGTACTATATAAACATAAAAAAACAGACCAAAGGCATGTGGTACATTAAAGGTAAAATGAATCATGCATCTGACAGGAGATTAGAAATAGACTAATGGGTAGGAGATACCGATAGGTATAGAAAATATAATCTAAATTATTATATGGCTTGCTCCGTGAGCGGGCAAGATGAATCAAATCCTGCGCTGTGATTGGCTACCCGAGCGGGTAAGATGGAGCTATCTTGCCCGCTCGGGACTACCCGCCGTGTCCCACAAGAAAAATTTCTCCGAAAGCCATATAATAAATCCTTTATTGACCAAGCTTGTTCGGTCAAGATGGCTGGATATTGCGGGTTTATGGACCTCGACTCCGTCTCGGTCCATAAACACGCAAAAAAAGAACTTGGCCAATATCCAGCCATCTTMACCTTGGTCAATAACCCATACATATTAATTAAATCCTCATATATCCTGTAAGAGGTTTCCATTTCTTTGTGTCTCCACTTCTCATGCTTTTTGTTTCTATTTCATATTGTGATTTTAGTGTGCATATGAAATTTGAATGATCATCTTTTGTTTTAGCGAGCCATATGTGATATCGTGCTAAGAGAAAGCAGTAACTGATAAGAAGCGCAAATTGAGAGATATCTGGCCTCAGACCCAAAGCAGTAATATTTGTCAAGGCATAATCTCTAGGGAGTAAATTTAAGTTTTTCAGCCATTCAGTAAGTTTATTCCAAAAGTGAGATGTTTCGCGGCATGACCAAAAGATGAATAATTGACTCAGAGGGGGTGTGACAAAAACAGCACTTTTCATTGCCCTGTAGACCTATTCTAAATAAGAAGTTACATGGTTGGTACACGTCTATGTAAGAATTTAAACTGAAACTCTATCAGCTTAGTGCTCTTTGTGCATCTTTTAGCTAAAAGATAAGCAGCAGTCCAATTGATGTTGTCATTTATTGGTAGGCCGCAATCCTCTAGCCACTTCTTTTGACTTGACTCTGCGGTTAAACTCTTGTTGCTAATCAGTTTTTTATATATTAATGTAGTTGCTTTTTTGACTTGT